TTTCATTTTTAGAACAGTTTTAGTTTTACAGAAAATATGAGAAGACAGTACAGAGAGTTCTCATATACCCCACACCAGTGTCTCTTATTATTATCATTTTCTTTTTTTTTAACATTTTTTATTGATTTATAATCATTTTACAATGTTGTGTCAAATTCCAGTGTTCAGCACAATTTTTCAGTCATTCATGGACATATACACACTCATTGTCACATTTTTTTCTCTGTGATTTATCATAACATTTTGTGTATATTTCCCTGTGCTATACAGTGTAATCTTGTTTATCTATTCTACAATTTTGAAATCCCAGTCTATCCCTTCCCACCCTCTATCCATCTGGTAACCACAAGTTTGTATTCTCTGTCCATGAGTCTATTTCTGTCCTGTATTTATGCTTTGTTTTTGTTTGTTTGTTTGTTTTTGTTTTTGTTTTTTAGATTCCACATATGAGCGATCTCATATGGTATTTTTCTTTCTCTTTCTGGCTTACTTCACTTAGAATGACATTCTCTAGAGCATCAATGTTGCTGCAATATTATTATCATTTTCCATAATTCATTTGTCACAATTAATGGCATTATCATTAGGATCCACACTTTATTCAGATTTCCTTAGTTTTTCTTTACTGTCCTTTTTGTGTTCCAGGATCCCATCCAGGATCCCAAATTTCATTTAGTTGTCATATGTCCTTAGGTTTTTATTGGCTGGTGCAGTCTCTCAGAATTTCCTTGTTTATGATAACTTTGATGGTTTTGAGAAGTACTGGTCAGATATTTTGTAAAATGTCCCTCCACTGGAATTTGCCTGATGTTTTCTCATGGTTATACGGGGGTTATGGGTTCGGGGAAGGAAGGCCACAGAAGGGAATTGCCATTTTCACCACATCATCTCATATATCAGTGACTTACATCTGTTGATGTTGACCTTGATCCCCTGGCTGAGATAGTGTTTGTCAGGCTTCTCCACTGTAAAGTTAGTCTTTTCCCCTCTTTTCCATGCTGTTCTCTTTGGAAGGAAGTTACTATGTGTAGCCCACACTTAGGAGTGGGGAGTTACGCTCCATTTCCTTGACAGAGTAGGACCGACCTAAATTATTTGGAACTCTTCTACGTGGGAGCTTTGTCTTTTCTCCCCCATTTATTTATTTATTAAGTTGTTTATATCAGTATGGACTCACAGATATTTATTTTATATTTGGGTTAACAGTTTTATACTTTTTTATCTTGATGTCTCTTTGGCATATCCACATCAGTGTGAAGTTTTGGTTTTGTTTGTTGTTTGTTTTTGAGCATTCCCTTACCTCCTGCCCCTGCAGGATGCTCTAGGCTTATCTTGTATTTTTCCTGCCTAGTCCTACAATCAGCCATTTTTCCAAGGAGCCTGGGGATGGCTATTTTCATTATAAGGTGATTACTCACCTTACATAACGATAAAGGTACTGGGGCGTGCAAATTATTTTACAGAATTTGATCGACAACTCTTCAGGAACATGCCTTTTGCTGGACTCAGCTATTTTAAAACCTGTGTCTAGCTTTTGTAGGTTCCAGAGAGGCTTCATTTTAACCAGAATATGAAAAGCTATTCTAAGAAGAGAAGTGTCTTTATCTCCATCTTCATCATGAAAGGAGGTCATTGGTGATATTGTGGGCGTTATAAGGATTTTATAGCAAAGACTGACATGGTATAGAAAGTACCCAACTGAGATTGGAGATCGGGTTTGGTCCAAATATTGCCGCTGCACCCATGTACACTTGGTCAAACATCACTTCGCTCTTTTGGCCTCATCTATAAAGAAAGGTGAGTGACCGAGCTCGTTTCTGAGGTTCTATTCAACTCTAAAATGCTATGCTATTAACAGCAGCAGCACTAACTTTGGAATGGCAGCAGCTTTGAGGGATTCGGGGTGGGAGATGTGAGCAGGAATAGAAGTGTGAAAGAGCAAGCTATGACTCCAGGATGAAGAAGCAGATCAATGATAGAAATGCAGTTTTAGAGTTAGCTAGTGAGTTCCAGGTAAGCAGTATCATTAGTGATCATATTCATTATTAACGATAATATTGAAGTCTTAATCTTGTTTTTCACGTAGCCTGCACCTGCTGCTCTAGATTCCTGGCTGAATATGCTTTAGGTTTGTGGTTCTTGAACTTGGCTGCATGTTGGAATGACCTGGAATGCCTTCAGAAGGACTGTTGCCTGGGTTCCAATGCCAGAGATTCTGATAGACTTGGTTTGATGAGCAGCATAGGCATCAGGAGTTTTTGAGAACTCAAAAACTCCCCATTCTTTTTTATTTATTTTTATTGGCTTACAATTTTGTGTTAGTTTCAAGTGTACAGCAAAGTGACTCAGTTTTATATATATATATATATATATGTGTGTATATATATATATATATATATATTCTTTTTCAGTTGCTTTTCTGTTATAGGTTATTACAAGAAATTGAATATAGTTCCCTGTGCTATACAGCAGGTCCTTGTTTATCTATTCTCTATATAGCAGTGCGTATCTGTTAATCCCAAACTCCTGATTTATCCCTCCCCAACTCCATTCTAATGGCACTCAGGGTTGAGAAGCACCGCATAGGCTACAGATGCTCTTGCCCCTCTCCCATATAACACATATGTCTCCTTAAGGGCCACATCTTGCTCATCTTTGCAGTCCTCAGAGGACCTCTACATAGAGGCTAAAGAATTGGATTTGGATAGTATTAGTTTCCTATAACTACTGTAACAAATTACCACAAACTTAATGGCTTAATACAACACAAATTAATTTTCTTATAGTTCTGGAGGTCTGAAGTCCTATACAGGCCTCACTCGGCTAAAATCAAGGTGTCAGCAGGGATGGTTCCTTCTAGAGGCTCTAAGGAAGAACCCATTTCCTTGCCTCCTCTGGCTTTCAGAGGCTGTTCATATTCTTTGGCTCCTGGCACCACATCACTCCAATCTCTGCTTCCACTATCATACGCATCTCCTCCTCTGACTCTGACCCTCTAGCCTCCCTCTTATAAAGTCCCTTCTGGTTACACTGGGCCAACTGGGATAATCTCCCCATCTCAAGATCCTTAACTTAATCACATTTGAAAAAACCCCTCTGGACATGTAAGGTAACATATTAACAGGTTCTGGGAATTAGGACAGGACCTCTTTGGGAGGACACTGTTCTACCTACCACAGATAGAGACAGAACAACTGATTAAATTACAGTCCACCCATGAAATAAAGTTACCCGCATGACACGTGGCATCTCTTTCCCTTTCTCGTTTTAGCTGTGTTAGGATTTAATCAGAGACCATCTTTTTGGACAGTTATACACCCTAGTGAAAATTTAACATGTGAAGAAACAGTGAAGAGCCTGGGAGCAACAGAAATAAAGAGCAGATACATATTTTTTAATGATTCAGTAAAGTGATATTCAGAACCGTAATTGGCTGTGGTGAGTTTTAAAGGGCAGACAGAGATGCTCAATCACTCTGTGCCTCCAGGCCTGTGGAATCACAGGGATCTCTGTTGTGTGGTTTCCTTGCCTCCCACCCACTCCCCCTTGCTTCCCGAGCCTGGCTGTGCTGTGGGACGGGAAGCCAGCTGGCACTTCTAGTCCCACATGCAGCCCTGCAAGCAGCCCCCTCTCTCCTGGACAAAAAGTATGAGAGCCAGCAGATAACACATCTGGCCCTGAGTCAGAGACGGTGACAAATGACTGAGGGGCAAGGAGAGGGACTGTGCATACAGGCAGAGAAGGGTCCTGAAAGACACAGCTTTAGGTAAGGCTTTCCCATTTTTTGCTGAATGCACTAGATAGTAGAGTTCCCTGATGAAAATGTCTTTCTACTGAGGGACTAGTCTGACCCTATTATTACCTGCTGTAGGGGCCCAATTCCCTTCTCCCACCAAAGCCCAAGATGGCTCTTCTCAGCTGGTCTCTGTCTTGCAAGATGGTGGAGTCCAGCCAGCCCTCTCCTTCCCCACTGATTTGCTCAAGTCCCTGCTGCTGAGAACTCTATCCAGCCAGAGCTTGTCCCCAGCTATTGCCATGGTGACAACCAGCTGCTGCTTAGCACCAGCCTGGGGACTGGGCACAAAGAAAGGGTGGCCAAAGCCTGTGCACACTGGGCCACCCTGCTCTCCTGGGGGCCTGGGGGTGGGGCACAGAGAAGGCCCCTTTAGGGAGCCCTGGTGGTCTCTGATGAGTTTGTTCTCCCAGAGAGAAGCCCAAAAGTTTGAAAGGTTTAAACTCCTCTGTTCCTCCACACTAGAATCAGGGTTTATAAAGATAAAGGCTCCTTTGCAAGGTAATTCTCCTATTTTACACATGCACATTCATATGCAAGCATTCTTTCATACTGGTTTGCACTTTCCCGCGTCTGACACTATATTGACCTCCAAGAGGGTTAGAAACCTGGGTGTGTGCATCAGCTCTGGCCTGCTTCAGCTTTAGGCCTGCTGCCCTTTTTATAGCTGGATTCAAATTCAGAACTTCAGAGTTTCATGTGACCCAGGGCAAGTTAACTACTAGTAATGTTAGATAATATTTATTATCAGGCATTGTGTTAAATGCTTTCCATGCATTTTATCTAATTTTTACATTAATCTTAATAGATGATGTTGTTTTTAATTCCCATCTTTAGATACAGAAACTGAGGCTCAGAGAGTTTTCCAGCATAGGCCCAGGTTTGACTTGCTCCAAATCTCATGTTCTTAACCGCTGTTCTGTATTAACCTTGTATTGCCTTAATCTACTCATCTGTAAAATGGGGATAATATCTGTCTCACAAGATAACTGTGTTGAGGATTAAATGAGATAATCTTGGTACAAACTTTTCATGGAGGTAAAGCACTGACAGATACTATCAATAGTATGACTGGGAGGAAAAAGATGCTTATCTTTGGGTCCAAGAAGAGTCGTCCTCCTCCTACTCTCCTTTAAGGTTATTTACGGCTTTAAGAGCTCTCTGGTTTCCAAAATCTCAGGGTGTGGCTCCTTCCCTGTCTCCACAGGTGATTTCCATGGTGATGGTGGGCGTGGGAGTCTACGCTCGGCTGATGAAGCATGCGGGTGAGCTATAGGGCCCCGTCCATCTCTCCACGACTCATACATGCCTCTTCCTCCTCTGCCTCCTTCAGCCCTCCTTCCCACATAAGCCATGGAGCTAAAGGGGGCAGCCACCTTCTGGCCAAATCTTAGCAGCCTACTCCAAGGCATCAGGAACCCAAGGCAGTTCACCTGGATTTCCCTGCACTCCCACGAATCTAACAAGATCTGCTTGTATTTTAGGTTTAGGAAGTGTCTAGGAAAGAAGGTAGGCCTCTGCATGCAAAGAGTAATTAGAGTCTTTAGCCTCTCCCTCGCTCTGTTTCGGAGTAACTGAACCTCTGTTCCTATTCCTCTGCATAAAGTCTCCAGGAAACGGAATCTGCAAAGCCAACGAGCCTAATGCCATTCTAATTCTTTTCTGGAGCGAAAAGTGGTCCCTCCTTTCTTAAGCCTGGGAATAAAGGCTCTTACTTTGTTAGTTCCTCAAATTAAATGCCACAAGGCCTTCTGGTCCCTTTGTGTTCTTCCCATGGGAGGGCAGTACTGCTCCCTGTAACCTTCACCCAGCCACACTGGAGATTCCCCCAGCAGGGCAGGAGGACAGTTTTGGGGGGCATCCCTATTCCATCCATGGGTACCCCCCTCAGTTGGCACCAGGCTCAGACTGAGAGACAGCCTCCTCCCCCAGAAGCAGCACTGGCCTCCCTGGCAGTGGACCCTGCCATCCTGCTGATCGTGGTGGGCATCCTCATGTTCCTGCTTACCTTCTGTGGCTGCATTGGATCTCTCCGGGAGAACATCTGCCTCCTGCAGACGGTGAGTGGTCAGGGGCGCCCCCCAAAAGGCCCTGGCCCCCTCCTCCATGTGCCTCTCATTCCTGCAAACTTTCAGTCCCTCTCTGTTCCCAAGGCTTATGCTGTCCACTCCTCACTCTAGAGCTCAGCCCAGGTGACCCAGCACAGGGTGACCACCCCTAGGACAGTGTCCCAGAGGCAGCAGCCTTTACTGCTTGGGGGTCACCCGGGAGAAGTGCCCTGTGGCCCCCCAGTACTCCGCATGGCCCTGGAAGAAGCTACTGTCCGGCGTGGTATCAGACTGTCTCCTTTTCCTGCC